CTTGCTTGTTTTCTTGCAGATTTCATTACCCAAACTAGATAATACCATCAGTGTGACTAGCCCTGATGATGTTACTTTGTTTGGGTAATGAAATGTCTGCAAGAAAACAAGCAAGCTCAGAGCACACCAAGGACCAAGAGTATGACAAAATTGCTATAAGCTAGTCAAAGCATTTTATCTCAAGACTAAGCAAGACTGAATGCAGAACTTTTGCATCTTCCATCATAGCAATGGTGTTTCATTCATAAAAATTCTATCGTTGGACAACAGCCAATTTTTTTTCAAAGCCCAAATTGAGCTACAGTTAATAAATGGGCAGGGACATGCCATCTGTTTGTTTCTGTCCAAATCAAGTATCGACAGATGTTTATTATTATTTTTCTCTAACACAATATACTTTCACGGAGCAAATACGACAGGTGTCAATGCTGCTAACATGGGATGTTTTGCATTGACAACAGATGGAAATGTAACCATCTTTTTCCCTTTCGCTTTTAGAGTTAAATGATACTAGGAGGGGGGGGAAACGTGAATGAGAATCTAGCTAGACATAACAACACTAAACCTAGTGTGAGAATCAAGGTTATTGAACCCAGAGCTGATAAAGAATTGGTGCTTCAAGCTAATTGGGGAATGTGATTTATGACTGTTAATTGGAGGAGGGAATTGTGCTTTGATACTATGTGCCCAGGGGAGGGGAATTCAGTTTTTGACTTCAATTATGCATGACAACAGGATCATGAACTTACATAAATGGAAACTTGAAGTCGTTTGGTTTAATACATCGCACGTAATGTGGAGTTGTGGCATTAAGGGTCTCCATCAAGAGATGCAGAGAATTTCTGAACTGTAGGAAAGATCAAAGGATGTACAAGGAAACATTTGACACATTTTTTCTTTCTTTCTTTGGAGTGAAACTTCTCCATGCAGCAATTTCTAATAACAACTTATATAAATGACAGGTCATCTGTTTTATTTTTAAAAGTCAGTCTGCATCTTTATTAATCGTGGAAATAAGTCCAGATCAGACTTAGGCCATAGTCCAAGAAGTACAGGTAGTGGGCCATAGCCCACAGGTAGACTGTGAGGAAAAATGTCACTATTTCTCCACAAACAGTTACACAGCGGCTCCCAATCTTTTCTATACCCCGCACCCCTTCTGATATATATAAACTTTAACAAAAGTTTGAAATAACGGCAACAAATTATGCATATACACTATAATTTTGAAAACCCAAGTTTTCGCACCCCCTGGAATATCGTCTCGCACCCCCAGGGGGGTGCGAGCACCCCTGGTTGGGAACCCCTGGGTTACAGCAAATGTTTCTTCTCCCGTTCTGCATTATCATGAGGGATAGCCCCAAGTAAAGTGAGGCCGTGCAATCTGGAAATAGCCCCAAAGACATGTAATACATTCCGTTTACCTGATGCCCCACAGTTTTCTTATGTTCCTTGCTTGCTTGGGCCATTTTGGACTTGGCTGGTTTTACAGCTGCTCGAGACAATGGGATACGACCCGATGGAGTGGCTGAGGCGGGGCTGATCGCCTTCTCCTCTTGAAACAGCTCAGGCAGCATCTTAAACTGAGTCAGACACAGAGTTTTTAGAACGTCGCCTCTGAATTTAGGAAAGAGAAAGTTTTTCCCTGAGGTAATGCAATAAAAAGGGGAAACCGAAGCCCAAAGAGATTTTCACGGGTTGGTTTTGTTAACTTTCCAGATGCTTGGAAAAATAAAGAAAATTTAGCTTTTGCTTTATCAAGCAGGTTAATTTAGGTGACCCCAAGAATGTGAGAATGGTCTTTTCGAGATTAGAGCAAGGGCGCAGTCTGTGTCCCACAGAGGCCAACCAGAAGCATCCGTGAAGCTTACTTACAAAGAGTATGCAGCGATACAAGACCTTCTCCACTGTCCCTACAGAGCAGTTATATGCGCTCCTAAAGCTTGTTGCCAAGGCAACCTTAGGCTTGCACCAGATTTCAAATCATGCAACCACAAACAATTCAAGGGTGGCCCTTGCACCAAATAAATATTGCAGAAACTCTCTGTATGTTGCTCTCTCTAAAAGTTGTGAAGTTTGACACCTAGTACTTCGTCTCACTCCTATTTCTTCCGCACCGTGAATTTTGAGAGAAGCCGGCACCTTTGCTGAAATACAGGACAATCTTCCATTAAAGAAGAGATTACAGGGAAAGAGAATTATTTTCAAATGCCTAGAACAGTGATGGCGAACCTTTTAGAGACCGAGTGCCCAAACTGCAACCCAAAACCCACTTATTTAATGCCGGGTGCCAGGTGGGCGTGGCCCACTGGGTGGGTGTGGCTGTGGTGGTCATGGCAGACTGAGTGGGTGTGGCCAAGGTGGGCGTGGTCACCTCAATATTGCTCGTGGGGAGGGACGCCTGTGGGGGCTGGGCAGGGTTGGGGGAGATCCAGGAGTCTCTGGCAGGTGGGGCGGTGGGCAGGAGACTCGTCCTGCGGGGTGAGGCAAGGAAAGGCGAGGCAGGGGTGCCATTGCCGCAGGGCAAGGAGAGGCAGGGGCCGAGGCGGCTGCTGCCTGACACCATCGGCCCCTGCATACAGAAGCCAGCGAGCATATGGGGGCCAACGGTGTCCGTCAGCAGCCACAGCCTGCCGGCCCATCGACCGGCACACTCTGGGGCTCCGCAGCCCGCCACCAGAAGTTCAGAGAAGCATAGATGCAGTAGGTCGTGCCTGGGAAAAGGAGAGCATGCGAGGCCAGGTGGGATGGGACAGGGGGGGAGGGAAACCAGCCATGCTGGGATGCATCCAGCCATGTGGGACCTCGGCGAGTTAGCGGGCAGCTGGTTGAAGAGGGACAATTGCCATCTCCGGGGCATGGCGCGCGTGCCCACAGAGAGGGCTCTGAGTGCCGCTTCTGGCACACGTGCCACAGGTTCGCCATCACTGGCCTAGAAGTCTGTAATCTTCCAAGAAAGGTAACACAAATCAGACAAGGAAGAGGAAAGATTTTAATTATGCATTTAAGTTTCCTAGAATATAATCAGGAAGGAGTAGACCAGGGGTAGGCAGCCTTGGCTCTTTTATGACTCATGGACTTCAATTCCCAGAATTCCTGAGTCAGCATAGCTGACTCAGGAATTCTGGGAGTTGAAGTCCATGAGTCATAAAAGAACCGAGGTTGCCTACCCCTGGAGTAGACTGTCATATTTCACCTATTCATTGCTGTAACTGGTTAGATTCATATCCTGCTCTTCTCTAAGAGCTGTAATCAGAAATGGACGACACTTCGGTCTTGATAGGATTGTGATGGTTAAGTGAAGTGGCAGGGAGGATTATTTCAACACTAACCTTACTTGATTTGAGAACGTTGATCTGTTCTTCATAGACAGTATCCTTGTTTTTTTCCAAAAACCCTTCGCACTGGTACTCCACCTGGAAATGTAAAGATCTAATTTTACCAAACAGCGGCTGCAATCAGTGGCCCACAAGGATAGGTACACCTAGATAAGCACAAATGTCTTCTGTTTTAGGAGATTTCCAATTTCAGATTTAAGTTTAAACACTTTGCCAAAGTTTGCTTGGGGCAGTCAATAAAGGAAGCCATCACACTCAATGCAAAGCATACTTGCTTCGTTGAATTGCTTTGCAAACATTTTCTGCCTCAAGAATTCCTCCCAATGACAACTGCAAAAGGATTCTTTGATGGACCGAGACAAGTGCAAGCAACAAGAAAAAAAAGCAATATCCACATCAGCCAGGAAACAAAATCTCCTACCTTATCTGCAAAGTGTTGAATAATAAAAGCTTTGTTGGACAATCGAGGTTTCTCAAACAGTGCCGTCTTATTCAAGTGAGTATTGTATAATTTCTGTGCCCAACTATTGTCTGAACCTTTAGGCATCTAGAGAAGGGACAGATGGAGAGATAACTTCACATTTCTGGTGGGAACACAGCCATGGAGGGGGGGGAATAATCACAGAAAAGTTATAAATGGTGCCTTTGAAAAGGAAGAAATATTCTCTCTCTTTTTTTCCCCCTGTGCAGGAATCTTGTAACATTTTTAATTGGCTTTTAGTGCTGTCCACAGGGGAGCTACCCATCCCTTTCTATCCCAGAGAGTTTAGCCAAAGAGACACATGAAATGACACCGATCAAAACTCAGCCACTGCCTTCAAATCCTGGGAATGGAAGCTTATGGGCTGAAGGAGGCATGCGACTCCCAGAACAGGCAAATTGTGCCGAACGAGATGCAAAAGACGTCTCACTAAACCAACGGTGAGGATATAAATGGGTATTTAACTCTTTCTACTTTGCAGCCAAGAAATTAGAAGACGCTTGCTCCTGGGGAGGAAAGCTATGGCAAATCTAGACAGCATACTAAACAGCAGAGACATCACCCTGCCAACAAAAGTGCGTATAGTCAAGGCCATGGTTTTCCCAGTTGCAATGTATGGATGTGAAAGTTGGACCGTAAGAAAGGCTGAGCGCCAAAGAATTGAGGCCTTTGAGCTATGGTGCTGGAGAAGACTCCTGCGAGTCCCCTGGACTGCAAGGCGATCAAACCAGTCAGTCCTAGAAGAGATCAACCCCAACTGCTCTTTAGAAGGCCAGATCCTGAAGTTGAAACTCAAGTACTTTGGCCACCTAATGAGAAGGAAGGACTCACTGGAGAAAAGAGCCTAATGCTGGGAAAGATTGAGGGCAATAGAAGAAGGGGACGACAGAGAATGAGGTGGCTGGATGGAGTCACTGAAGCAGTAGGCGGGAGCTTAAATGGACTCCAGAAGATGGTAGAGGACAGGAAGGCCTGGAGGAACATTGTCCATGGGGTCGCGATGGGTCGGACACGACTTCACAACAACAACACTTTTTTCTGCAGAAATTCTTCTACAGGGGACATTTGGACTACCTACCTTGCATTCCTCATCCAGCAAATCCAGAATTCCCAATTTGGCCTCGATGAGGTTAATGCAGGGCTGATTGTCGTAGAAATCAATCAAGGTCCAAGGAATTTGTTCCCTCATGTATTCTTCTTGCTCCAACTTAAAGACGTGCTGTGTGAGAGGGTAGAAGACGGATCATCGTCAGGGTGAGGTTACAGGGCTGACTTTGCATTTGCGTTTTTCCTGGGGCTTTTAACGGCGATACAGAAATTGAAACGGACAACCTGTTTTGCCAGATGCAACAGATTAACCTAGCTATCCCTCTAGAAAATGATAAATGATAAAAGTCCTCCTTCTGAACCACTAATCCAGAAAATCTAATTATGAAGTGGATAATTAAGATGTGGGTGGATAGCATGACACCAAAAAACACCAAGTTTCTTACTTACCATATTGAACTGCTGCTGCAGTTTCTCATTGGCGTAATTTATACAGAATTGTTCAAAACTGTTGATCTCAAATGTCTCAAACCTGAAAAAGAAGATTTTTCAGCATACCTGAAAAGTATTCAATGAACAGTTGCACAGCTGAGGTCTAAAACCTCCAGCTGAATTATTACAGCTGTATTAAATGGAATGGAAGGGCCAGACAAAAAAAAACACCCCAAAAAATTTACTCAGTCTACATTCTTAGCAGGAAAAAAACAGTCCTTCACGATGTAAGCTACTTTGTTTGATCTATTATATCAGGGGTGTCAAACTCAATTTCACTGAGGGCCGCATCAGCATTGCAGTTGCCCTCAGGGGGGCAGGTGGGTGTGGTCAGGGTGGGTGTGGCCTACTGGGTGGGTGTGGATGGAGTGGGTGTGGACAGCTCTACATCATTCGCGTCAAGGGTGCCTATGGATGCCTGGGCAGGAATGGGACAGATCTGAGGGTCTCTGGCAGAAGGGGGTGGGACTGGGGCAAGCGCCAAGGCATGGTCCACTGGAGGAGCCTCACTATTCCTCTCAGGCCATGCAGGGGGGGGCTGGATGGTGGTGCGGGCTGCCCGGAGCCCTGGGCAGCAGAGGTCAAATGCCCAGCCTGGCCTTTGAGCACCCGCGGCACCAAGCCCAGCCCCACTTCCTCAAGGCTGCTACTCAAGGTTCTCCTGGTTCCTCGCTGTTTCCAGACAACCTTGTGGAGCTAAGACTGAATGCGTTTCAGCATAGATGGCCACCACAAAATTCTACATTGGCTCCCGGCCGGCCTGGGCCAGGGCCAAGGCAGCGGGGGCCGTCCCCTCACTGTTTCCAGGATGGCTTCGCGGGCCACATGAAACCACTTCGCAGGCCGCATCCAGCCCCCAGGCCTTGTGTTTGACATGTCTGTATTATATGATCTGATTCTATGGAACATCAAGATATTGTTTCAGATACCCTTATCATTTTTGGCTACACCGCCTAAAATCATTGCAATGGTAGCAAAACTGGATAAAACTGGATAAAAATCCTGAGACGGAAAGCACTCACCCATAAATGTCCAATACGCCAATGAAAGAATGCTGTTTCACAGTGGACTGCAAAGCTTTGTTCACATGTTCTACAATCCAGGTAAAAAGGTTGGCGTAGATATGTTTTGCGAGAGCATCCCTAGCATTGATAGCCTGCAGCTTGGAAATTGGCTTGATGTAGGTCTCGGCGGCAGTAGCGAGCTTTCTGTGGCAAAGCCAATGCGCCATCTGTTCATATTCCACTCCCATGAGTTCACAGAAGATCCTGAGGGGTTCGTGTTTAGGCTATAAGGACAATAATCTCCTTAGAGTTGAAAACAATCTACACATATTCCTAACAACTCATCTAAAAATTTTCAAGCAGCCAAAAGTTGACGAGAAAGATTTTATGCCTTAGATCAGGGGTCTTCAAACGTGGCCCTTTTATGACTTGTGGACTTCAGCTCCCAGAATTCCTCAGCCTCACGCTGGCTGAGGAATTCTGGGAGCTGAAGTCCACAAGTCATAAAAGGGCCAAGTTTGAAGACCCCTGCCTTAGATTTAATGAGAACGTTCTTCCATTTGGAAAGACGTAATTTGAAGAAAAATATGAGAGAGAGAGAGAGAGAGAGAGAGAGAGAGAGAGAGAGAGAGAGAGAGAGAGAGAGAGAGAGAGGGGAGAGAAGAGAAGAGAAGAGAAGAGAAGAGAAGAGAAGAGAAGAGAAGAGAAGAGAAGAGAAGAGATAGGGAAAATGCAGCATATCTCCATTTTGGCAAGGCAACTACAAGACAAATAGACAAGGAAGAGTAGGGAAGTTAGAAATGTCAATGGGATCGAGAATAGTTAAAGTATTTTGGAACTTACGGGGATTGTGCAGCTATCGGCATCTCGAGATGTGAATGACACGTTGCCCAAGTGAAGAATGCCAGCAAGGATTTGGAAAATTCCCATCTGACGGGAATCAACAATGCCTGTTGTATTGGGGAAGGGAAGCAGGGGAAAATTAAAAAAAAAGTTTCCTGGAATAATTACAGCCTATTAAGTACCTAAACAAGAAGGATACAAGGTATAATTAATAATAAGGTAATAATTCATCACTGAGTGGGAGAGTCACCCTTTTATTTTATTTTTTACCAAAAAAGCAAGAACTTACAGCCACATCCAGACTACATTCAAACTGCAATCTCCCACTTGGAAGAGATGTAAAATGATTTTTTTTTTACCATCATAAACTGTAAATGTTCCCGAGTCCCTCCATAATTGCCCCTTAATACCTGCCTCCTTACAAATGGTTTTTATGCTAAATCTTATGCTAATTATGCACATTCTTGCATAATTACAGCAAGACCACCCTAGCATTTTTACAATTCAAAGCAACGCACCAATACTTTCAGAAAGGCCTAATTTTATCCTCCAGCGAGTTAGATGCCCTTGGTGAAAGAATGGTGAAGAATTTTGCACCAAGAAATAAATGCAGCAGCCTTACGGTGCTTCAAAACTTATTTTTTGCCAGAAAGTCAGCTGCTCTTAGTATCCCTGCGGTGTTTTAAGAAAGCCGAGCTATTTGTAACTGAAACAGATATCTGCTCCTCCCCCATTCCTCTTTGGTGCCTTTGAGATGTCAAATAGTAGTTAGCAAAGGTTGTATTCTGCAACCTATTAAGCTCAGTAAGTGGAACCCTCTCTTAAGCAGCGTCCTTTTAAGGTTTTTTTTTCTTTTTGCAAATAATAATATACAACACTGTATATTAAGTGAAGCGCTTGAAAAATCTCGAGCTTACCTAAAAGAGTGCAAGCCCGCCGAGTGTTAAGCATTTCCTTAGCGTCATCAATTCCGTCAATTGCTGGGCTGCCCCCTTGTTTTGTATAGTGAAAATAGTCTGCATTCCCTATTTGGACAAAAACAAGATGATTTCTTACAACAAAATGCCGTGATGACTTTCATGCGACAGGCGTGTAACTGCAGCCCGTTGAGAAGGCACTATTTGTTCATGAGTAAGAATTTATACCCCTTCTTCAAAAAGTTCTTTAAAGTTCAAAAAGACTTTGCGGAGATTCAATGCAGTCAGAGTGATCAAGCAAATAATGATTCCTCTTAAATTATTCCCGACCATGGTAAAATATTTGTAACAGCACTAGATTTGCTTCGTGTTTATACCTGGAAGATACATGGTTATTAATAGATAAGAGGGGGGACATGATAGAAGCCTTCCAATGTTTGAGGGGCTGCCACAAAGAAGAGGGAGTCAAGCTCTTCTCCAAAGCACCTGAAGGCAGGACAAGAAGAAGCAACAGATGGAAACTAACCAAGGAGAGAAGCAACCTGGAATTAAGGAGAAACTTCCTGACAGTTAGAACAATTAACCAGTGGAACAACCTGCCTCCAGAAGCGGTGAATGCTCCAACACTGGAAGTTTTTAAGAAGAAACTGGACAGCCATTTGTCTGAAATGGGATAGGGTTTCCTGCCTGAGCAGGGGGTTGGACTAGATGACCTCCAAGGTCCCTTCCAACTTTTATTATTATTATTATTATTATTATTATTATTATTATTATTATTATTATTATTATTATTATTATTATTATTAGAAAAATACTTTGTAAATGCCAACATGTAGTACCGACAGATACCGATACATACCCAATCGCAACGCTTTAAATTCAGGTAATGCTGCAGAAGCACAAAGCTGATAGAAGATATGGTAATTTCTCTCAAGAAGACGGAAATTATGTTTATCTAATATAAACTATACTTGGTCAACTGAGAATCGCTGGTGTGTCGCCAGAAGTCCTTGTTTATTTAATGTGTGTTTATATATGTGCCTTTATTATATATATATTACCTACTTAAAGACATACTGTCTATGATAGGACTCTTTCAACACTGATTTTGTCCCCAGAAGTTTGAACCGGTTTATGAGCTCCCACCCTCTGGAATGAACTGCCCCCAGAGATCAGGGTTATCCCTGATCTCCCTTCCTTTCGCCGCGCCCTCAAGACTTGGCTATTCCAGCTTGCAGGACTGGCCTAGGGCAACTTTTAGAGGGGTTTTAATTATATTTTAAATTTGACAAATATTTAAATATTCCTTTTAATTAATTTTAAATTTGTACTGTTATATATGTATTTTAATTGATTGTCAGCCGCCCTGAGTCCTACGGGAGAAGGGCGGGATATAAATCCAAATATAAATAAATAAATAAATGACTCATGGACTTCAATTCCCAAAATTCCTCAGTCAATTCTGGGAGTCGAAGTCCACGAGTCATAAAAGGGCCAAGTTTGAAGACCCCTGGACTAAAACAACCCATAATTTGCCCCCTTCCAATTTCTTCCACTGGTTCTTGAGTCCCCCTCTGGAACAATAGATGTAGAGATCCTTTCTTCCTTAAATTAACCATTTCCACTCTGGATTGCAAAAGGCGAACCCCAACCACATCCCACTCCAGATGTAAACCATCACGCACAGTTTTGTCCCCCAACTCATAATTATGCAAATAAGGCAGAATCCCCTTTACCTGGAACACCACTCTTGATTTTTCTAGGAGGTAAGTTCTCATGTTAGCCCCTGTGATTCGATACCGTTTGTCAAAACCGATTTCAATGTACTTCCCAAAGCGACTGCTGTTGTCGTTTCGTGTGGTTTTGGCATTGCCAATAGACTGTGGGGAAGGAAAGAGGACAAGGTCAGAAATTTTGAGACCCATTCCAATTATAAGGAGGACTTCTTTCTCACACACATGGGAGAGGATGCCTCTTCTAAGACTAGGGCTTTCTGAGAAGACATGTGCATATCCAAAAAGAAAGACGGACTACATCAGAGGTCTTCAAACTTGGCAACTTTAAGACTTGTGGACTTCAACTCCCAGAATTCCTCAGCCAGTGTGAGGAATTCTGGGAGTTGAAGTCCACAAGTCATAAAGTTGCCAAGTTTGAAGACCCCTGGACTACATCATGCTTGAGAATTATTCTTTTAACAATTGCCAATGTTAATCCATAACTTAAAACTCGTAATAAAAAGCGAGGCCTCTATCCCTAATTTAATCTATACCATGTCTCCAGTTAACATATTCAGATGCATATGATATTACTGAGCACAAACAGACTTCTTTGTGTAGACACAAAGAATTGTTTGACTAAAAACCACGTAGAAGATACGTCTCCACTACCCCAACAGACCTTCTTTCAGAAAATGGGTTTCATCATCCATACACTTTTGTTAACAGTAACTGCATGTTAGTGACAGTGCAGCACACCCACCCACTAAGACTGAATCAGAGGAGGTTTTTTTTGAAGACTGAGGGTGGAGGATATCTTTAGAACAAAGACTGAATTTGTAAGTCACCAGAGATAGAGTGAAGGGATGTGGAGAGACTCAATAATAATAATAATATTAATAATAATGCATGTTTTAAACCATGCTGACTCAGGAATTCTGGTAGTTAAAAGTCCACAGGTCCTAAAGTTGTCATAGCTGTTCACCCCTGCTCTTATCATGTCAGGATCGTTCTACATCTAGAAGGAAAAGTGAAAATGCTCACGACATGCCTATTGGTTAGTAGGCGTTTTACTGATAAATGCTCGGTAAAGTTGCTTGCACAATTCCACACAGCACGGCAAACCAGGCAGAATTACCTGAGCTCTGAATACATCAAATACACCTCAGACAAAGTTGCCTTTAGGGCCACCTCCACTTTTGTTTTGTGTTTCAAGAAATGCTTAAAATAAGGAAAAAATAGGTTTTACAATATTCAAGAAAGGGGAAAGTTGGACTTAATCTCTCAATAGATCTCCTGAATGTTCTGCATCTGGTAGGTATATCATCAGGGAGAATATATATATATTTATCCATCCCCCCCCCCCCATCCATTTCTCTTTTGCATTACATTTTTAAGGGCTTCCATCATTGTCCTGTTTTCCTTCAAAATCTGCTAGTCCTTAAAAATCCATATCGGTTACAGACAGTCCTTGACTTACAACAGTTCAATTAATGACCATTCAAAGTTACAATGGCACCGAAAAAGGTGACTTATGACTGTTTTTCACACTTAGGGCCACTGCAGCACCCCTGTGGCCACGTGATCAAAACTCGGACGCTTGGCAACTGACTCTGTATTTATGACGGTTGCAGTGTCCTGGGGTCACGTGATCCCCTTTTGCGGCCTTCTGACAAGTAAAGCCAATGGGGAAGCCAGATTCACTTAATGACCGGGTTACTAACAACCGCAATGACTCACTTAACAACTGGGGCAAGGAAGATGGCAAAATGGGGCAAAATTCATTAACAAACGTCCCTCTTAGCAACACAAATTTGGGGCCTGATATATAATCCAGGATGGTTGAAGCGGTCAAGGGGAAACAAATCGTCCAATGGCAAAATTGTTCTCTAATTTAAAATAATAATAATAATAATAAAAAAAAAAGGAACAACACACACATTCCGGTCTTACCTCCATTATAGGATTGGAAGCTAATACTTTCTCTTCAACATTAGCTTCACTTGCCGAGCCGCTCACCGTGGCAAAGTATCTCATGGCGTATTTGGCAGACACGGTTTTCCCAGCGCCCGATTCCCCGCTGACGATGATGGACTGGTTCCGTTCATCTCTGAAATAGAAGCAAAATCATTGGACAGAATAACAGAGCTGGAAGGGGCCCTGGAGGTCTTCTAGTCCAACCCCCTGCTCAAGCAGGAAACCCTATACCCGTGGTGGCGAACCTATGGCACACGTGCCACAGGTGGCACGCAGAGCCCTCTCTGTGGGCACGCACGCCGTCGCCCCAGTCCTAGGCCTTTGCTGGGTTTTATAAAGCCTTTTCGCTTTAGGCCTCCGCCACCGTGTGCAAAAAAATAAAAAGGTTCAATCAATCAATCAATTTCAACTTCTCACGGGGAAAAAAAAAGATCTCGCAAAGTTGGAATTGATTGATTGAACTTTTTAGTCCCACCCAGTCTGCCGTTACCACCACAGCCACGCCCACCCAATGGGCCACACCCACTCACTGAGCCACACCAACCTGGCACCCAATGATGCATAAGTGGGTTTTGGGTTGCAGTTTGGGCACTCGGTCTCTAAAAGGTTTGTCATCACTGCCCTATAACTCATAAACCTATCATTTAGATTGTGTATGAATACAGGGAGTCCTCAGACTAACGACTGCAATGGAGCCCAAAATGTCCGTTGCTAAGCAAGACAGTTGCATGAATTTTGCCCCATTTTTACGACCTTCCTTGCCCCAGTTGCACACTGAATCACGGCAGTCGCTTACTTAGTACTGTCGCTTACTTAGTACTGTTAAAAGAATCTGACTTCCCCATTGACTTTGTCAGGAGGTTGCAAAAGGGGGATCACGTGGCCCCCATCAAAAATATGAACCCGTTGCCAGCATCTGAATTTTGATCATGTGACCATGGGGATGCTGCCATGGTTGTAAGTGTGAAAAGCCTTCACAGGCCATTTTTTTTCAGCGCCACGGTCACTTCGAGCGGTCGTTAAACAAATGCCGAGGACCACCTGCATATGAGTATATTTATCATGACAACAGCCCCCCTCCTTCCACAAACCTAGTTGGTGGAAAGCCGACACCCCTCGTCCCACAAACCTGGCCATCTGTTTGTATGCCTCCTCAGCCACAGCAAAGATGTGGGGGTCCATGTCCCCCATATTTTGGCCACTGTAGGCATTGATGATGTCTTCGCCATAGATAGGCAGCTGCTCGTAAGGATTTATGGCAACTAAAACTATACCTAAAACAAAATAATAACAAAGACATGGTAAAGCAGTGGATATTGATTCAGGAACAATTTAGCCCGTGTTGAACTGCAACCACCACAATAACGATATGTTTTCCTTTTAGTTTTGTCAGTGTATTGGTTAAACCAGGGGTCCCCAACCCCGGTCCATGGACCGGTACTGGGCCGCGGCATGCCAGCAACTGGTCCGCACCAACAAGCAAAGCCCCATCCGTAGGATGCAAGCAGCACACAAAACCACGCACTCTCCGGTCCGTGGAAAAATCTTTCTCCACAGAACTGGTCCCTGGTGTTCAAAAGGTTGGGGTCCTCTGGGCTAAACAGTATAACTGACATTATATGGAATGTAATTTGAGTGGTTGTCTGTAGGAAACTCGGCTTCCAGTGGGAATCATGGTTGACTGAAGACATCATGAACAAGCAAAGACTATGACCATTATGAAGAATGAAGGACCGGCGGCTAGACCAGTCCTTCGAAGGAGTGAACAGGAGGTCACCCACAAGTGCTCTGAATGACAACTCTTCACAAGGAGACCATAAAATAGCAATTTCCATGAGTTTGAGGGCCAGGAGCCAAAATCTACGCTACCAGCACAACAGAACCTTTGATAAGGACGCTTTAG